CCCAAAAATCGGAAAGTCATAACATAGCAGCGTCTGCGGCATCATTCTCAAACCCTGTAACAAATTAATTCCGACCAGCAACGTTTTGAAAAACAGAAGCCAAGTTATCAGCCGCAGTAGGTGACTTTGTAGCGACCTGAAGATTCCCCCGTATGACTGTTTAAACTATTCTAAAATATTCAAATTATAGCTTTCTTATGTATTAGGAAACTACTCGGTTTGCCTGTTGGAACGTTGTTCCCGTTTGTTGGAAAAACGAAAAGGACCTCCGCCTTTGGCGCGCGGCTCGACTGCGAACGACGCTCCGCCTACGCTCTCGACGCCAACGACACTCTCCCTAGCTAGCTCTCTCAGGGTGGTCATCCGATGACCAGCTCAAGTTCAAAGTGATCAAGTGCAAAGTCGTAAGCATACGCCACCAGCTTATCTATGAATATCGACTTGGGGACCGGAAGTTACAACGTGCTTCCCAAGAAAACGACCTCGGGGTGATCGTGCAGTGCGATTTTGGTTGTCGTGACAGGCTGAAAAAGCATCAATAAGAGCCAGTCAACATCTTGGACTCTTACGGAGGGCTTTCGGGAATTTCGAGCTATCAATCTTTCCGCAAAGGCTGAACGCCTACGTGAGGCCTCACGTGGAATATGCGATCCAGGCCCGGCATCCCTGACGCAAGCGCGACATCGATGCACTTGAAACTCCACAACGTATAGCGATCAAACTCGTTAGATGATTGTTTCATCTCTCCTATCAACGCAAACTGCAGTCCCTGAGATTGTACAGTGGGGAATATCCACGTCAGCGAGGAGACCTAATCATGGTTTACTTAATATGGACAAACCTAACTCACTCATGTCGCAGTTTATTGCAGCTGAGCCAAAATACCAATCTGAGAGGCCATCTGCTCAAATTGGCAACGCACTATAGTCGGCTTGATCGTTAACGAAGCGTTTTCTCCCTCCGTGTGTCCCGTGCTCGGAATACCATTCCGACTCACGTTATCCTTGCCCCCACAATAACCCTAATTAAAATACGCCTTGATGAAACGCTTTCCAACCTGGATTACTTGCGTTAGTCAGTTCCACTTGGAGGACGAAATTACGCAAACCTAACCCTGTGCTTAACGGCCCTCTTCGCAACGTGGCGGTGAGGATACATGTAGAAGTGTCCAGGTGAGTAGCCTGGACGTATTTAAACTGGATTAACATTCCACATCTGTCAAATGAAGTAACACAAGTGTGAGCGTTGTCGTTTTCTTTTTTTTGTTTCTCACGCAGTTACTGAATTATAACTGGACTTTGTACTATTTTGCGTGTGCACATCCCATTTCCGCTTCAAACTATCGTTATTCAGTAGTGCGTTTAAATCAGTAGACGCTTAAAATAACGATTTACTTATTCGATGCTCCTTACATTTTTAATTTCTACGCTAACCATCCTACGGGACTTGTCAAGCACACGCCTTTTTACCTGTGATAAATCATTGTCAATTTTTCTGACGTAGCATTTGGCGCTGCCTTGCAGTAAAATCTAGCTGACGCTTGCCAACCGCTGGCGTTCTTCTCCAAATGCCTGCAGCCAGCCGAATCTCGGTACAGCACCTTCGATAGAGAACTAGTAGCCATCTATTTCTCCATACGTCATTTTCGACTTGTCTTAGAACGCTGCTCTTTTACCGTCTTCATCTACCACAAACCCATGACATACGTACTCAGCTCGTCTACCGACCGATAATCTCCTAGAGTCACGCCACCTAAATTATATCGCACAATTTATGACAGACATACGACATATCTCATGTGTGCACAGCGCCGTGGCCGACGCACTTTCCCTAATTCAAGCCATCGCCGCTGACGCCGGCAGTACTATCGACCCGACAGATATGGCCGCAGCACAGCTCAGTTATTATGAGATTGATCTACTACCTGGGTGTCCCTCGCTGGACATACAGCACGTTCCGCAGACATCATCAGACGGAACTATCCTTTGCGATTTACCTCTGGGCACGTTGCGCTTAGTCGTCTTAAGCGGGTTTTGGCAGACCGTGCTCGCTACGTTGCACGGCGTTGCACCCAGGCTTCCGTATATCGGCTAAACTTGTAACTGCACGGTTCGTTTGGCCCAACGTCAATCGTGACGTTCGTACTTAGGCAGCAGCTTGTGTTTCGTGTCAACTCGCGAGGGTGCATAAGCACACGAAGAGTCCATTAAGTAGGTTTCCGATGCTAGATGCACCTTGCCACCACGTGCACGTCGACCCCGTATGTCCTCTGTAGCCTACGAAAGGTTCGATAAACCTTCTGACTTGCATCTACCGCTTCACCGAGTGGTCAGAGGCTACTCCGATTCTAAACTGCTCTTCGAGCATGGTAGCAAAGACATTTTTTGACCTCTGTGTGGCTCAGTACGGCTGTCATGCCATCCTGGCCAAAGGTCTAGGATAACATATCCCGTTCACTTTTGCCACATTGCTAAAGGAGTTAGGCAGTTGGCAAGTCCAGACGACAGGGTGTCATCCGGCCACTAACGGCATGGTGTAGCTTTTCGCCGCCAGTTGAAGGCAGCGCTACGTGCGCACGCAGATCTTTCATTATCTGAAACACTTTCTTTCGTCCTCCTAGGTTTAAGAAATACTGTTAAAACCGAGTTCCACGCAACGCCAACGCAGCTAGTCTACAGCTGCAGGTTGCGTTTGCCTGGACAAATGGTGGCACCAGCCCCGTCTACTTCGTCCTTTGACTGCGAATGTTACACTGACTGATTGGCCCACCAGATGCGTGGGCTACATCCGGCCGCTCCTCGATCGCAGAAGACACCAGTGTATGTGCACGAGTAGCCGTCTACTTGCTCACACGCCGTTCTCCTTGCAGACGGTATTAAGCAGTCTCTTCAGTCACCGTACATGTGACTTTTCGAGGTGCAAATATTTGGGTGTTGCTCCTCTCAACACTGACACACACGCTGGTAGACTTTTGACTTTTCGAGGTGTTACACTATGCTATTAACATATATTAGCTACCACAGTGGCAGATGCGAAATCGTCGCCATTGGCCTTCTAAAGCCTGCCTTTATGAAAGTTATCATATCGGCTACTTCATCTAGCAATGCTTCGTGCGACGTCACAACCCACCGCACCAACTTTCAGCATCCTAGTGTAATCGAACCAAACCACGATCTCAGTCTACAAGCAACGGCCTTCTCGGCAGCTTCTGAAACTAGCCTGTCGCCTTCCACGACCAATCGCCGTGGTCGAGAGGTCGGCAAGGCTGTTCGTTTTTTACGACTGTGTGCAGTGTAAATACACAGACTCGTAAATCTTATATACGCGTACTCCAACCTTGTGGTAGAATGAAGTTTTAAAGAACCAATATCACAAACGAAGGTTTTTGAAAACCTAAAAAATACTCAAAACCCCAAAACCAAAAACTTACAGCAGCATGCTACTTGTTATGTATTGTTTTCAGTTTTCTGCGTGCGTTTCTTTCCTTTTTTCATACATGAACCAACCCTCCCCTTCCATCGATTGGACCTGGAGCGATGTTTCCGAGGATCGTCGCAGTCAGCGAGGAGCTGGACGCGAACACGGGCCGTTTCTTCGTGGGATGAGGTTAGTTTTGGCGCGAGGTGGCTTCAGCGTGGGGAAAGGCCACTCTCAAGTACACCTTTTGACAGCACCGGAGGTTGAGATCTTGTTGGTCTTTACCTGGGCTAAGCAATTTTTTGAAATCCGACAAGCGCTCGCCAACAGCTCGCCAAAATGCACCCTGCTCTGAAATCACTAAATAATAGATAACAAACGGCACAGCGGACTCGGGTTTCCGAAGGACCACCATTTGACACGAGCGCTCACAGTTTCTTACTCAGCAGGATTTTGCCCAACAAAGTTCGATTCGCCGTCATTTTCGACATCGAAGGTTTCTTTTGTCCATCCTTCTAGGGAGGAGCTCTGTAGCGCCCCAAAAGATAAGTAGCTTCTTTTGTGTACACTTTGCATGATGGCCAATTGTACATTGTTCCTTTTTGTTTTAATCCACTTTACCTTACGGGCATGTTGGCCTACATCCGGATTAACACTCGTCTGCTCTGTAATTAGACGCGCTAACGTATGCTCCTGTCTCGCTTCATCCGTCCACGTCTTTTTGTAGGCCATGGAATATATTCCGCTGTGTTTGACCTCAAGTGCCTTCTGACATCTGCGTTCAATTACGCGCACCGTCTCGGACTAGTATTTACTAGTCATACAGGCCAACAAGCAGTTGATGCCTCGTGAAGACGACAAAAGTTTTCTGCAGGGATCTCTCTGACGCGATAACACAGCCCGAGTGGTTTCTAATAACTTGGCTTAATTCGCTGACCCTACTTGGTGATACAGCTTTGAATCCCAGCGACAAGTGACAAACCTTGACAGGTTAGCACGTTATGGACCAGGACGTTTCTGCGAACCAGTAGGCATGTGAAGTGCTCTTGCATCACAAGATCACCCGTGGAGTTCTGTTTCAACCGAACCGATGTCATAGTCAGTGACCATTATCGTCTATGATTGGGTTTGGTTAGAAGATTATCTACCCATACCTAAAATTCGGAAATTAGCTGTTGTAACTGAGTTCTTCTGACATTAAACTTTCCACTTATCTAGTGTACCAGTGTCTTTTAGTGCAGTTCGATAGGTTACAGAGGCAAACAACTCTGCACAGCAACTAGAAGTCTATTCAAGTTCGTATGAGTCTTAGACGTGGATTGGCACTATATGCTTCAAACGTCAGTGATCAGAGAGGTAGCTGTCCGAGAAAATGGGATTAGGACAATAGGAATCGGATGGCCACGTTGTGTGTTTGATGTGAAAGCGATGAACTAATCGGTTATATGGATTTGAAATACACCGCCTCAACCTAGAATGCACTGAACTGCATGCATCAAGACAAAACGCATTAAATCGACCAGAGTATTGCGTCGTTATTGACCGAAGGTTCAAAACTCGTGATGCCTCTATATAAATAACAAGTTTAAACCGACAAGTGAGAAATAGAAATGGGGCTATCTACGTCAGTTGTGCTTGCCCTTTTGGTCGTCGTAGCCCACGCCTCCGGCTATGGCGGCTACAGTTCATACAGCGGTTACGGGAGCTACGGCGGCACCGGTGCACATGGATATGGTGGCTACAAACATCATGGCTCCTACAGCCACAGCGGAAAACTCAGCTATGGTCAGGGGTATGGGTATGGAGGTGACTATGGCTACGGTGGGTATGGCCACGGTGGATATGGCCACGGTTACGGTCATGGACACGGATATGGTTATGGCTACGGCGGTCATGGACATGGCGGTGGACAGTTTGGCGGCAACGGCAATGGAGGCGGAAATGGCGGCGGCAATGGCGGCGGCAATGGCGGTGGCAGTGGATTTGGATACGGTTACGGGGGTTACGGACCCGGTTATTATGGCTATGGTGACTACGGCTACGGTGGTTACGGTTACGGCCATGGCTACGGCGGCTATGGCAATGGGTTCGGTCACGGTTACGGGGGCGGATACGGGCACGGATATGGTCCATGGTTTGGTTATGGCCATGGCTATGGTGGATATGGACACGGTCATGGTCACGGTGTGTACGGTTATGGAAAATATTAAACCATTTACAAAATTATGTGTATAAAGTGCGACAGCAATAAAAACGTACCTTTCCATCTGCGCACTTTTTCTTTGCGCTTGGGAGCCGCCAAGGTGCAATCGTTCAAGGTGGTAGTATATAGATAACTGGCAACAACTGGTGCTCCATGAACTTCGGAAAATGTCAACACAGTAAACAAGGGAGTCTCGAGTGACCCTTAGCCACTTCACACATAAGCAGTTAATTTTATTAAAAAGTACTCGAGTTAGTTGTGGCACTGTAAAGATCTGTGCAAGTCGATTGAATTTGGTACTGTGATTATCACCTAAGAGCCGTTATTGATATCATTTTATCGAGCAACTATCGAATCTCATGGTGAAGAAAGGCAATCAGAGGTGTGAGTGTGAGTACATTGCAGTAGTACCGTAGAGATACGCTAACCTTCTAAAGATGGACTTCATGCAATGGGTCATTCTCTGGCAGTTGGATAGACAGTGCGGGGGGTCAGTGCAGTGAGTCATTTTCTTCACGCTTCATGAGTGCGTAGAGTGTTTCTGTCTGGTTACTATGACTTTACCAACGGTGTTGTTTCCCGCTGTTGATCGAACTCACCTTGGACCCGCATCATCTTTGATCCATGCCTCTGAGAATTATCATACTACGCTTGCATGTGACACACAACCTTGAACAATAACTGTTGTGTCGGACTCTGCTAGACTGGAGAGTAGGCCAGTCCCCAGTGAAGGAGAACGAGCAGGACGCGTCCGCGGCAAAAAACTGGAGTTGTTCAAAACGTGAACCAGACATGATTGAAAGTGCATTGTACAGTCAGCGCTGATTGGCGTCCGTTCGATCATGGGGGTTGATTTCAGAACACCATGCATTTCTCGGCCCATTGCATTCGTAACGTTTTCAACTTCCTCCTTACGAAAAGCTTGTTCCTCTATATGTCGCCTAAATGGTCCTTAACGCTGCCAAGTTGTATCCAACGCGCACAAAGGACCCTACATGCGACTGTTCAATAAGAGACTAGTCCCAACTCAGCAAATAGCGTCCCGCTGTTATACTATCAGCCGATTCGAAATTGGCTGTTCAACGAACGGTACGCATCTATACGAGTGTTTGCGGTCGTTGGATGCAGCTTGTTAGCGTCAAAAACCATCTCTGGATATCTATGAAACATGATTTGCTTAAGGAGGAAACTGAAAGCGTAATGGACGCAGTTGGCTGAAAAACGTACAGTCTGTTGATCAATATTTTTCTGGCGTGTTGCAATCCTACCGTTGGGCATCAGTTGGATGTTGCCTTGTGCTCAGCGCCTTCTGGTCTTCGGGACAGATGATTGAGTGACTACGATTCGCCAGCTTCACTGGCATGCGCTCGAGTAAACGTACCCTCCTAGCAATAACTGAACTATGAATGTGTCGGTGCTGTAACGATAGCTGTATCGCTGATTCAGAAGCACATAAGCGAAGAAAAATAGACAGCTGCTGGTCGGTTCCTCATATACTCTTCCCTCCTCCTTCACTAGCATTCCTAGTATCTAATGTAAACAACATGTTAGTATGAAGGCTCAAAATGCACTTCACCGGAAGTATCATCAGCGCAGAATGGTCAATTACATTCGGAACGATACGGCCTCAGAGACTTAACTGCCAGTTGTGCGTACATTCGAGCTGAAACTGCGGACGAAACGTGTCACCTCGCACGACTGCACGGAGATTCAGCATAGATTACTGGCCCATAGCAAGATTTCGTTTACTAACAACCAAAGGTGAACATGCCTTTCACGTTTTCGTAATAAAACTCTATAGTGTAGCAGCGCAAGATATAAGCTTTGGAGGCAGTTGAATGACGGTAAAACACATGAGTTGCCACGTGGTAGCAAGGTTCTGATGAGAACTCAGTTGAATTCAGTGTCAGTGGGACAAGATTAGGCAAAGTTAGCATGATTTGCGTTAACACACGGCAGCAGTGTCCTTGAGCAGAGCTCGTCTGTGGCCTGCACAGTTTGAATCGCCGCATGATGACAGCATTACTGAGGCGAGCTCAGGCGAGCTGTGCACAACTTACGTGGAGCCGTGCGAGCTTTGCAGCACGTAGTTCCATTAGCGCAGTACGCATATGCCTCCTGTCATCGGGTGCTTATTAGCAAGACAAGCTACCCTGTTACTCTGGCGAAGGTCAGCGTTCACACAGGACACAGCTTAGCAGGACACATTTGGTTTTGACAAACGTTGCTTCGACAAAAGTAGCATCGACCACTTATGCAGTTCTAGCTTTATGTACCGAAATTGCCTCGGATAATCGCTCGGATCCCTTTTTTCATCAACAGCAATACGCGATAGCTGAGGATGAGAAACACACCACAGTGAATGTGCCCCAATACAAAAAGAGGATTCTAGAGACTACAGAATGAAAAATATAAACTAAATAGTAAGGCTGGCTAGCCGAACAATCTCCTCCTCATGCCTGCTCGGTATTTCAGGTTTGACCCGTGCCAGAAAATAGTTCGGCGACATTGTTCCAAGACATGGTGGGTTTTCGCTTGACAAGCTTTCTCCCTATAAAAGCCACAAATGTCTGTTTATCAACACTGCGATGTGGCCGCAGTGACCCGCCACAAAATGAATTCACTGCCCTGTGAATATCCGAATAATCCTATCGAAACCATGGATATCAATCATCTATTCTCACATTGCCGGCTTTAGGAAACAGTCAAGAACGCAGTGACACACTTACAAGCACAAACTACACAGCTACACACGCGCAATTAGATAGATAGACGCACTCCTACAAAACATTCACTGTTATGGCAAACATGCATTTTTGTGCAGGTTTGATCATACTTTGTGAGCTTAATATGACCATGACTGTAAAAGCGTGCCTCGTGTTGTAGAGAATAAAATTTTCATTTGTCTATTTATTTATTTTTTACGCACATTGTATGAGGTGGTGGTCGGAGTAGGAAGACAAGCGGGGGGAGGGAAAAGAAACTCACAACACAAACGTCACCTAGGTCGACTCTTCCCCATGTCAACCAGTGTATCCAACCAAAAGTGTTCATCATCCTTCGGAATACAGCTCGATTGTCCGCAGAAACCAAACAAAGCGAACTTCGAAGTGAGGGTTATCAATCCTGTAGACAATGTCATCGGTGCGATAGGTTATCTTCAGCCCGGATGGCAGAGCACTTTGATACGCATTCAAAACATTCGCATTCGCCAGTTGGCTAGTGTGTATGCGCTCATAGCGTCATTGCGGACTTCCTCCGAAACGCACCCGTAGATCGGAACATACAAAAGTGTGACTGGAGTCCATGTTTCTGATCCAAATCGGAGGACAGTTTAGTACACAATCTCTCCAGCCGTTGCTGATTGCAATGTGATCGATTAGCATTTATGAATGGTGCGGGGCTGGTGGGTACCATGTCACTCTGCTACAGGTGTTGTGTCGGTAGTTAGTGCTTACAAGAAATGAACGATCATCTTCACACAGGTGTAGTAACCGCAAACCGTTACCACTACCGGAGCCCACACCATGTTGGGCGCCCAGATGCAGATCACCAGCGAACAGTATCTAACTTAGGCGTTCAAATAACCAGCAAAAATCAAAGTATCTATACTTTTCTTGAAGGAAAGAGCACGTACAGTTGACGAAGGAAGTCATATTTCACCTATTCAGCGCTGCAGTTTGTAGGAGTGTAGGCATCCTGGACAAATAGGCACCGTTTGTCCCCGCTCGACTTCGTAACATCAAAAAAACCAGCCAGTATGGCAGCGCACATCCGGCTGTTACTTGGGATCCAATCCATTAGGACAGATTAAGTCCGAGGACCCAAAGAAATGCACACACCGGCTTGACAGAAATTTGAAGCTGCGTCATTTCTGGACAAGCGAATTGGGAAAATACCGTCAGTGTCGCATGTTGTGGATCGCAGAGTAAGCGCAGAACTCGGACACTGCAGGCGAGTTTCCGATAAACAGCAGATGTCGATCGATAAGGTCTCCAATGTTCGGGCAAGTGCTGCCTGTTGTCTAATCTATAACACAGTGTGCAGGTTGGGGCATGCCAGTCTTACGAAGGTTCGAGGGCTTTAAACAGAAACAGTTGAACTGACGCTGTCCGTTTAGCTGGATATGAACTTATCGACTGAACTGGAGCGACGTTTAGCGATTGAGTGTAAGTCGAAACCAGAAGATCAACGATTATTGAACCAAAATAGGAGCGGGCTGAGAATTGAGGGTTGAGAACAGGGGAGGGATAAAAGCTGGAAGGCGACGATAATAATGAAAATGCGCAAGAGGGAGGTTACGAAGACTGGGAAGTCCGGGAAGTAGCATTCTCATCTCTATCCATTCTGCTTGATGCAGCAGATAGGACGCTGTTGGTAATCCCCTGTAACGGCCAGAGCCTCAAGAGTTTGTTTGACGGTAAATTCATTGGATTGGATTGCGTAGGCAATATACTATCAGGTTGTCCCGGCCTAGACAAGAAACGATTAGTCTTCGCAACCATAACGTTTGGTTCAAATACCTGACCTCAAGGCAGCGGGGTTTTGGCAGTTGGCTACCAATAATCTGTTTAATGAGGTAAGAAGCCAACCGTACTCAAAGCCCCAAACGAGGGCCAGGAGATTGAGTTTATCAGGCGGCTAACAATTGATCAACCTGATATGAGTGGCCATGTGCAAAACGCACTACCAGGCATAGCTCAGTACATCATTTGGACACGCAAACAATCGTATCACGTTAGGGTCGAGTGTAATAAAACTGCATCACTGCCGACCAGCTCAGGGTCTTGCGTCAAGGCTAAAGACCTTGGTCGAGGACCTCAATCGTTCTCCTGCGTAGGTTTGGGCATGCGACAATCTGGGCACACCTACAGGCTCGGCTATTTCAACAAACTTCGACCACATGCTGCATTGGCCGTCGCTCAGCTTCTTAAGTGTTGGTTTATCTGCTACATACAGCAGGGTGCATAAGAGAAAATGATATTGCTGGTGCTTTACTTCTTTCTTATCCGCCTGATTCTCTTACTCCCCTCCTGAATCCCAATTCTGACGTTCCTTCCGT